TTCCTCCTTGTCTCCGCGTGCGGACTACGCGCCAGGCTCGCGAAGATGATTCCGAGACCGGTGAGAATCTCATCCTCGGCTGGCATTGGGCTTTTTCTGGCCTTTATTGGGCTTCAGAACAATGAAGGCCTGGGCCTCGTTAGCTTCAGCCCGTCAACGCTCATCACGCTGGGAGCATGCCCACGCTCCGCGCGTGCGGCGGTTGCGCAGGTCACCACGGCAGCAAACGGCACCGTTTCTCTTGTTCCCGGCGGGACCGTCTCCGGGGATATCCTCTGCCTGAACGGCAGAATGGAGAGCCCGACTTTCTGGCTAGGAATGGTAGGATTCGTAATTATCGCCTATTGTCTGGTCAAAAACGTCAAAGGCGCTATGATTTACGGCGTCATCTTCGTCACCGCCGTTTCCTGGTTCCGTCACACCAGGGTCACGGCCTTCCCCGACACTCCCGCCGGCGACGCCGCTTTCAACTACTTCAAAAAAGTCATCGACGTTCACAAAATCAAGTCCACCGCCGGCGCCCTGAGCTTTAAGAGCATCGGAAAGGGGCATTTCTGGGAAGCCCTGGTCACATTCCTCTACGTTGACATCCTCGACACCACCGGGACTCTGTACTCGATGGCCCGATTCGCCGGATTCACGGACGAAAACGGCGACTTCGAGGGCCAGTACTTCGCGTTCCTGTCCGACGCGACGGCGATCGTGATCGGATCGCTGCTGGGGACGTCTCCGGTGACGGCGTTCATCGAATCCTCGACCGGGATAAGGGAAGGCGGGAGGACGGGGCTGACGGCGTTGACGGCGGCGTGGTACTTCTTCCTGGCCTTCTTCTTCACGCCGCTGCTGGCTTCAATCCCGCCGTGGGCGGTGGGGCCGCCGCTGGTACTGGTCGGAGTACTGATGATGAAATCGGTGACGGACATCGACTGGGAGGACATGAGGGAGGCGATTCCGGCGTTCGTGACCTTCGTCCTGATGCCGTTGACCTACTCCATCGCCTACGGATTGATCGGCGGCATAGGGACCTTCATCGTCTTGAACCTGTGGGATTGGAGCGTGGGGCTCATGTCGAAATATGGAATAATCAAGGGGTCGGGTGGTAATAAAGAGAACTTGGGGGTAAACGGGGTTAAGGGAACGCGTACGTAGTTAGTGGCTAATGACGACGAGGATGATTCCAAATCAATCAAAGTTGTTTGATACGATTGTTTAAGGCATTGTAAATGGTCACCATTTGCTCTTTTCTTTTCTTTAGGACTTTTCTTTTGTCATTATCCACCCCTTACTACACTGTGTATCCTTTCCAAAACTTAATCCTAAAGAACAAACCTTAAATTTAAGGTTTTAAGATTAATTTTTTGACATCAGAACAAGACAGTTTATGTAAAGATTAGTATTACGCAGATCTCATTGATAGCTTTAGCAAAACATTAACGTTAATCTCTAATGTTATTTCTAAACAGTCCATTAATCTCTTTATTATTCTGTTGAACTGATGTATGTGGCGCGTGGAGTGGAATGGACGTACTAGTTTTTTTCATAAACTAATTAGAAATTGAGTAGAAATCTTATCTTAGTATGTCAAACAATGTTTCCTAACCTTTGGGAGTACAGATTAGGAGATTAATTAGATGGCATATTTCTGTTCGGGGTGCTAAACTGGTAGTGAACAAGTGGGTACTATATTGTCCTTAAACTTGACAACATGTTTGTCCCTCTTTCATGTGTATTGTTGTCTAGATATGGACGGATTCATATCTTGTGGCAAACTTATTTGTGTTGTCTCTCCCAATATTTGTACACTTTTTTACTTTTTCAGTCAAAATTGATAAATTTTGATTCTAAATTAAATAAAAATGATACTCCGTATTAGATATTGATACAAAAATAATTTTATTAAATTTATTATATAAAATATTTTCAAAATATTATTTTATCTAATTAATATACAATATGTAATTTATTTAATTATAAATCAAAAGTTCAAACCGAACAAATACTCTAGAACGCAGTTAATATTCTTTTTTTGCGCGATAGTGTTACCGAGTTGGTAACGTGAAGGGAAGCAGGAGAGAGGGGTAACCGAACACGAGAGGAAGGGGAGGAGACAAGTTAGGGAATAAGGAGGGTGTATTTCATTTATGCCCAAAACTCAATGTGACATCCCATAATATAGTAATGGAACGTAACCCCCAACTCTACGTATTCTAGGTTTTCTAACCTCTCGGTTCAAAAAAAGGCATCAAGGTAAAGAACCGAAAAAAAATCTTCGAAGGAGCTTATAAAATGCTTACCTAATAAAAATCTGAAATTACAATAATAATAATAATAACAATAATAATAATTAAACATAGTCCTCAAAACGTCTAGGGCGACGCATAATCCTCTTCGGGTGAGAAGATTTGTCTTCCTCATAAACCACTTTCTTAACAGATAGGGTGCAATCATTGTTACAAATCCATTATAGACGAGCTTGTCACACAAAAATAAATAAATAAATTGTGTCAATAATAGTGTAAGAATTATAATTAGAAGCAATCCTACTCAAGCAACCTCTTTTCTAGTATCTTTTCACTTTTACAACAAAAATAGAATAATTTAACTCACTTTTTTTTGTCATTTTGTAACAAGAATATTACCATTATATTAATTATATAGTCCCTACCATGTACTCCCTCCGTCCCAAATTATTTGCCACATTTGTATTCCCGAAGAAAAATATCAAGTTTTTTCAATTTATTTTATTTACATATTGGTATAGAAATAAAAAATAAAATTTACATATAAAAAACTACATGAAAAGTTCTTCGAAATAAGAGGTGTCAAGAATATTTTATTTTATCAAATAACCAATGAAAACGTCAAAATAAACAAAAGTTCCCGCGACTGCTGAAAAAACAAATGTTGAGAATATTTAGGGACGGAGAGAGTATTAATATATAATCAGAATATTACCATAACATTTCCTTTAACAAGAAAAAAAAGAAAGTTTGATTAATACTACCCCTCCCTCAGTATATTTGTCTAATTTAATTTTTACAGTCAAACTAGACAGACCTTGGAACTTAGTTATATAAAACCCCAATGTATATTACTTCGGTAGTAAATATATAAAAATAGTTTTACTGTATTTTTTTGTTAAAATTTTTATGGACTCCAAAAGTCAAACTAATTAATGAATATATGAAGACAGAGGGATTATGAATTTATGATATTTGTCAAACCCCCCTTTAACAACCACCATACATTGCGTGCATATTTTTTTATTCTCAGCTGTGGAAATTTTCATGAAAATAGTCGTGGTATAAAAGGCTTTTACTCCCTCCGTGCAAAAAAAATGTCACACATAGCTAGTTCACTATTCAAAAATAAATTATAATAAAAACTTTTGTTAATTTGTACGTTGTCATTGCTTATTTTTTATAAAATAAAATATTCTTATTATCATTTATTTTGAAAAATTTTCATGTAAATAATAAATAAAATACATTTAAAAAATTTAAATGTTTTCTTCATTTTTCATAATGTGACAAATATTTTAAAACGAAAAGAGTAAGTAATTTCTTACTAAAGTCAAAAAGAAAAAAGACTAATTAGTGTCGTGTTATATATCTAAGTTATACATTTGCACGATTGTTGTCATTTCAATATAATATGAGAAATTTACCTAAATAGGACTAAAACATAATGACTTTCCCAATATAGGACCATATGTTTTTATTTTCCAATGTAGGATTTTTGGTCATTATCAAGTAGTCATTATTCAAGTAAATGTCCATCATTACTGGACATTATTCCTCCCACTAGGTCATTATTAAGTCCTATTTAGAGAATAAAAAAGTTTAAGTCCTACATTAAGAAAGTTATTATGTTTTAGTCTTATTTAGTACAAATTTTACATATTAATAATGTTATTGATTAGTGCTCAACTCCCAAATTTAGACGTCGTTTCATTAGTCAATGAGAATTGCGGAGTATAAAATGGGAGTATAAAAATAGAACAATGTTCGAGTTTGACTTGTTATACAATGAAGACCGATCATAAATACGAGGTACGTCTCGTGAAATTTTTCAACTTTCACATTTTATTTGTCTGATAAAACATTTTAATTTTGGCTTAATGGACATAAACGATTTAACTTTTTTAAATCTAACCAAACATACCTCAACTACCTTCTACGTCATACCCATTTTGATATTTTCAGAGTCCGGCCTACTCGTTTCAATTGTCACGGTCTCATCTGGGTCAAAGTTCGACAATTTCTCCTCATAGGACAGAAGAAAGATTTCGTATCCAAATTTCAAATATTTATTAACATTTGAAATACTCCGTATAAAAATAATTAGTGTCATATAGATTAACAACATAGGAATTTAACCTAATATGCGAGTTTAACATTTTTTATTGAAGACATAAAAATAATTGATGTACTACAAACTATAGAGGCCCTGGTGTGTTCGAGAGAGAAAAAAAAAGAGGCCCTGGTTTTTTTCTCACGGGGCTACCGAAAATTTTAGACACATTCTCTTTGGAGTATAAAGTCATGTTTTCTTTAAGAGATTTGATTGGTTCTAATCTGATTAGAATACGTTTTAGTCTGGTCTGATCTGAGTGTAGTTACATTTAATTCTATTTTTTATATGAGCTGATTCCAATAAGAATAAGTAATCTCTATCTATAATATTCATAAAATGCACCATTTCCTTTTGTTTTTTCAAAAGTGTTGTCGTTATAATTCTATTTTTTTTAAATGGTAGATGGGTGAAACCCTAAGAACTTCTCTTGATGTAACAATGTCTTTAATCAAATTTGAATAAAAAGAAAAAATAATAGGACTAATGGTGTATTTTTAAAAGTTTGGATGAAAAAATATGCATTTTATGAAAAGTATAAAGATTAATGGTACATTATTTGAAAGTTCAAGACGAAGACATGTATTTTTCAAAGAATTCGAGGATAAAATATGCACTTTATAAATATCATATGGAATAGCGGTACATTTTGAAAATTCATACATGAACTTATAGCGGTACATAAATAACATGACGAGTTTAGGGCTAAATGAAGTAAAAAAATCTAAACCTTTCTTTGTTGAACCCGACACAAATAATTTCGATCTTTGTTCAAATTTCACTTCTTCTTTGGGTTGAAACTTGAAACAACTATTTTAAAAAGTTTAACATATATAAATGAGATTTACATATATGAAAGTATGAAACAAATAATTGTAATGTTCTAGAGATAAAGTATCTAACAAACTAAATTTTCAATTGACATTAGGGTCCGTTTGGTATACGAAATTGACGAATTGGAATTGAATTGGAATTAAAATTTCATGGGATTCGATTCCATAGAGTTGAATTCCGGCAATTCCAATTCATTTTTTGCACCATCAATTTAAAATTCACATAATTTTTGTGCTACCAAAAACCAGAATTGGAATTGAAGTCTTCAATTCCAATTCTATGGTTTGAATTCCATGTACCAAACGGGGCATTAGTGTTTTGATATTAAAAAAATTAGTAATACAGATTAATTTTAAAAATAATATAATATTGTTGTTAGATATCGTTTTCCAAGTATTAACATTAAATTAAACACTAAAGTTTTTCCAAAGGAAGCTAAATCTTTCTTCCACCATTATATTTTTATTTTTCAAATACTCCATCCGTCCCAAAAAGATTTACATCTTTCAAAAAAATTGCGTCCCACAATCTCCTACCCATTTCTATTAAAAAACCACTTTTAGCCCTTGCTTTTTCAAATCCTACCTATCACATCATTCCTTTTTCCTAATAATTTACACATCACATCCTACTTTTACCCATCACATCAAGGGTATTTTTGGAAAGTCAACACAAAATTACTCTTCCCTTAAATTCAACATTGGTCAAAAACGTGTTAATCTTTTTGGGACGGAGGGAGTATTAAACAATAATTCCAACTTTTAGGAACGCGCCCACATACTTTAATGAATGGCAGAAGGGGCCACAAACGGAGGGGCCTCTCTTTTGCGGATGTACTTCTAAAATCCTTCGAGCGCTCAAACAAATTGTACAGCTAACACTTACTTCTTCGGGTAGGGTTAGGCGTTGCCCCACACAAAATAAAGAGTGCGAAGAAAATAAGATTTGAGTTTGATTTCTGACAGTTACGTTGAGAGGCAACTATGCTACTTACGCATACGATCTCTGCAAGTACCAGATGCAGGCTTCGCTTTATCGTCTGTCGGATCCGAGGAGACCCTCGAGGATGAGGCTCATCCTTTTTTTAAAATCCCAATTTAAATGTCACGTTTCAAATTATGATATTTGATTGATATTACTATTAACCCAATTTATTTGATAATTGATGTAAATTTTAAAAATAAAAATTATATATTTAAAGACTGCATCAAAAGTTTTATGAATTAAAAGAGTACATGACTATATTATTTTATCATATAAGTGGCCAAAATAAGTAAATAAAATATTTAAAGTTTTAACATGTGAATAATAAACATACAATTTAAAACGAGACAGGCGAAGTCTCTCCAAACTTCTCCACATTTAATATTCGAATCCAGCGGCCGTAGGCTTAAGAAATTGTAATTATTATAGGAATTACTCAAAAAAGGAAATTAGTATTGTCGATAAGGAAACATAAATTTTCTTGAAATTCCAAAATGTTTGAATGCCCTTCAATCCTTCATGATTCATTCATTGTACTTCATGTCCTCGATTCCATAAAACCATTCTTCTATTGTTTTTTTTCAATTCCCTAAAACACTTTCACTTTCTATTAAAAATCACTCTTACCCTTACTTTTTTTTAGAAATCATCCTAAATAGGACTAAAACATAGAGAAAAGTACCAAAATAGGACTTTCATGTTTTTTTCCCGGAATAGGACTTTGCACTGTGATAATGTGACTTTGCATTGTGATAATGTGGCAGTGTACATGTGCAAATTACTATACTTTTTTGGTAATATATATGACCATGTTTGGTAATGTAAGCCCTATTTCGGGAATAAAAACATGGAAGTCCTATTTTGGTATATTTTCAATGTTTTAGTCTTAGTTTGGTGTTTCTCCCTACTTTTTTCATACCCTACCTATCACATCATACTTTTTCACTAATAACTAAATTATCATATCTTACTTTTACGCATCACATCAGAGACAAATTTTGGGGTGTGTGTTGGGGGGGGTGATAAGGCAGCCTGTGGATTCATTCATTCACGCCTCCGAGGCATATCATGCTAGGAGTACACCAAGAAGTATACTTTATATTGTATCTTAATGAAATGCACCAGCATTTTAACCGTTCCCACCAGCACAAAATGTCATTTCAATCAAAAAAAATTGTACTAACATTTTATGTTATATTTTAAACCATCAGATTGGGGTTATAGTTTTAAGTTACATATGATTTTATTGTTATTGAATAGGAGAAGGGTTGGCGTTCTGACCCATCCCACATTTATTTGACATTACCTTTCTAATTTATTTGCTCCTCAACCCAAGTATATTAATGTAGTCTCAAAATGTCATTCTTTTCATTTCATTTATTCCCAAAAAAGTTCACAACCTTTTTTTGTTTTGTTTTGATTTGCTATATAATTTTGCTGATACTAGTATTAAATTTCAATGTCATATTATAACATTATACACGGTACAAACTTTCTATCCCCGTCCACAATAGACTCACCCCTCGTTTGGACACGAATTTATTGCGAAAATTTTGATAATAATAAATTGCCATCCAAAGGGTGGTGTAAGGGAAAAACTAGAGGATGATGCTCCTTCAAAAAAAGAGAAACTTTTATTTCCTTTTTTTGCAGACAACTTAAAAAGAAAATTTGATTTTTTTACGGAATGAGAGAAGTATAGAATATCCTTAAAAAATATATCCCATGATTTCCTAGAATAAAGTTTTAGTTTATTATTTACATAGCTAAATTCTTTTTTTCTTTATGCATACATTTTTCTATTGATCATTTGATTAAATAATGTGGAACATATATAGTTTATTTCTATATTTGTTAAATTTTTGAAATGATTTAAAGATAAGAATACACACACACACACACACAAATATTTCAAATTGAAATAAAACTTTAATGAATTAATCTAGGGGTACACTAATATGGGGTACCTCATATGTACACCAAGCCAATATAGAAGTCAAACATAGACACAACATGTCTGTGTTGCACAGATATTTTGTGTCAGTATGTGTTTGTATTGGCTTAGTGTATATATGGGGTATCCCATGTTGGTGTACATCTAGCATTGCCCAATTTTAATTGAGCCCGGTTCCATGGCCACTGGATTCCAGTGGCCACGGAAGCCATTGCCCCCCTACGGAGTCCCGTTCCTAAAATTGATGATTCCTACCCCCTCTAACTCCCCCCCGCCAAGTCCCGACCCAAACTAATCACCCTACTTACGTCAATTGCACCTCGTAAGTATAATTGATTTTAAAGTCAAAACTTTTGACTTTATACTTACGAGGTGCAATTGACGTAGGCGGGGTGATTAGTTTGAGTCGGGACTTGGCGGGGGGGTTTACCGGGAGGTTAGAGGGGGTAGGAATCATCAATTTTATGAACAGAGCTCCGTAAAAGGGCAGTGACTTCCGTAGCCACTGGAATGCAGTGGCCATGGAACCGGGCTCATTTTAATTTGGGAGAGAACATAAAAAATTCAGACCAAACCGGAGTAAGGATATCAAGAGGGAAGTAAACTCGGCCCGTTTATTAAACGAATTTTTCTTTCTCTTTTCACAATTTCCCAACTGAAAATGGTCGGATGACCGGTCCATGTCCACCCAGAAATGGGCCCAACCAAACACGACCTCGCAATAGAAGAATATTCCCATGGATCGGGCATCACAATTGCGGCCCAAGAAAGTTTATTCGATCCTTAAAAAAAAGGTGGGGGAAAAAAGGGAAGTTCCAGAAATCTCAAAGAAAAAAAATGGAAGCTTTACATCTGGGCAGAGCCACTACATACTTCATTTCCTCCTCCTCTTCTTCTTCTTCTTCTTCTTCAGCTCGTGGGACTCCATTGATTCTTTCTCCTCCGAGCAGAAGAAATCACAGGGTTTCAGTTCAATCGTCCTCCAGATCGAGCAAGATGTATTCCAAATTGACTGAGAGTGAATCTGGGAAAGGTACGTCCAGCAAAAGGCTTTCTTCCAATACCAAAATGGAGGAGTATAACATGGCTATGAAGATGATGATGAGGAACCCATATGAGTATCACCATGATCTGGGTCAGTTCTTCCCCTTATCCATGTGTAATTATAATTATTTAAAGCTCTGGGCTGTTATGTAATTTGTTCTTTATGTTTTCATATAAATACCAGCTATACACTTCACAAATCATAATCAAAGATCTCATATTTGTATCATGGTATATTCTCTGCTATTTTTAGGACATGAGGGGATGATATGGAAGTAAAGAAAAATAAAAATGTATGGTTGATATTGATGTTGAAAAGTCAGAATAAAATGAATGTGAACCATACAAATGTATGAAAAAAATTGTGGGACTGACAAAAAAAAGTAAAAATGAACAAAAATAGTGGGAGGGGTGGAGTATTGCCTTTCTTGCCATTGTCAAGTTTTAATGTATCTTGTTTGTTTTGTTTCTTCTCTTATACAGTATTAGTTTCCCACTTTGTGAAACTTATCTTGTGTGAATGGAATTTTTGGAGACACCCTTTTTAGCTTTTCTTTTTTTTATTCTGGTGGATATGGATTTTGAGATGGACATGTGAATCTGAGAGCCTTTCTTTGTTGATGACCTCTAGTAAGGGGACATGTAAAGTAAACATGAAATAAGCTTATGAGGTGGAAACTTATTGATGATCCATGCCAGTAACTAGCTTGCTTTTCTTTATAAAAAAATGGAGCTTTAAAAAAAGTTGAAAGTTTAGAGCCCTATAGTGGGTCCCCATGGTTATTTTCACACCAGTTTTGGGTGTTCTAATATGACTCCAGAGCCCTATAGTGGGTCCCACCCTTTAACCCCTGCGTCGAGACTCGACCCCCTGCCCCAAATCGGCAGCATAAGTATTTTATCATATTGGCAATCCAGGGGGGTTGGGGGCAAGGGGTCAGTTGTAGGGGCCTACACCCTACTTGTGGGATTCTAGTTCTCTTATGGTCATCAATGGGACCTTCCCTCGGGTCCTCGAGAATGTTGTGTGTACAAGGCTACCTCTTTTTTTATTGTTGTACCATGCTGATAGTGTGTGCTCCATGCTTCAGGTATGAACTATACATTGATAACTGAAAATCTCATTGTTGGTTCTCAACCTCAGAAAGTCGAAGACATAGACCATTTGAGGGAGGAACAGAACGTGGGGTATATCCTAAACTTGCAGCAGGACACAGATATTCAATATTGGGGGATACATCTCCCTTCTATCGTACAAAGATGCCAAGAACTTGGAATTCGTCACATGAGGAGTCCGGTAAATTGAACCTAAAACAAAACTACTTCCGTGATTTTGCATGTTTGAGACTAATTCTTACAATATCATCATCTACATGTGTTCATTTTATGCGTGTTAAGCCATCCAACATCGATAGGATATAAAAATGCAAATCAACATATACGATCTTGAGTTACTTTCTAGCATGTTAAACTCAAAAGACGAGTTTGATCTTAAACCCCCCTAAAAATGCGCAACTAATGAACCCCAAGTCTTAAGGCTCGTTTGGTTCTCATTTTCCTCTTTGGAAAGCTTGATTCTCAAAAACTAATGTTTCAGAATCAGACAAAATTACTCGATTCTAGAGAATCAAGTAGTTGATTACTTCTAAAAATCAGATTCTGGAAATGATAATTAGTTTCAGAATCTAAAATAAATCCAACACCATGTTGATTCTGGGATAAAAGTGATAGAATCGACCTCTCAAAATTCAAATGAGCCCTTGACACGATCTGCAATTATTTATAAACTACAGGCGAAAGATTTTGATCCAGATTCCTTAAGGAACATATTACCTAGAGCAGTTTCATTATTGGAATGCGCCATTTCTGAAGAGATGGGAAGAGTTTATGTGCATTGCACGGCCGGATTGGGGAGGGCTCCTGCTGTTGCAATTGCTTACATGTTCTGGTTTTGCGACATGGATGTGAGTTCTTCTATATGTTTTTGTGTCTACCTTGTCTTCGTGTGTTTCTGTTGTGAAATTTTACTGGATTGTTGTTGTTAAAACATAATAATGACAAATTGATTCTTTTGTTGCTTGGCGAGCAGCTAAATAGAGCATACAACACACTCACTTCAAAGAGGCCATGTGGGCCAAACAAAAGGGCGATACGTGGGGCCACGTACGATTTGGCTAAGAACGATCCCTGGAAAGAACCATTTGAGAATCTTCCGGACAATGCCTTTGATGGCATAGCGGATTGGGAAAGGACACTGATTCAAGATCGTGTCCGTGCTCTGCGATATTCTTGAGGAAAAAAAAGATGTATATGTACAGTTTTTTTTACCTTAAAGGCTAAGCTCATTTAGAGTGTTGTTCATGTGGATTTGTTTACAGTGTAATAAGGTGTGTACTCTACTTCTGTCAAGCTATAGAGACTATGGTGCTTTGCCAATTTCTGTTTTGGGTCAACTGTGTGGCCAAACATGTATGGAGAGCATGAACTGTGATGTAAATAAATGTCATACATATTCTAAGTTTTTTTTTCATATTCTAATGTGTTTTGTATATGTCTCGCAATCCAATGATTTCTTAGCCCGAATTTATATATTTGAGTTGAACTCTTTTCGAAACCTCTTTACTACAGAATATCTAACAAGGGTATTGTCTCTTACAAACAATTCAATTCATTACAGAGTACTTCGTAAGGGTAGTGTTTGCATACACACCATCTCATACCTTATTATTTTGTGGATTCTATTGGGTTTGTTTTTATTTTAAGAAATATTCCGGAGTAATTCTATGTTTTTCATTTCTGTATCGACGAAATATGAAATCACAAAAGTTCAGTTTTGTAATACGTGTGCCAGGTGAAGCTATAATGTTTTTCATGAGATGAGAGTATTAATAAAAGGTGCATTATCAAAAACTCAAATGGTAGTATCGTCGTCAAGACGAAAACTATGGTGGCACAGGATGTAGGTAGGTAGGTATGTATGGCTGCCCTGCAGCGGTGTACATGGTGGTGTGGTGGTGACGGCAGTGGTGGCAGTGTTACAAAGCTCTTGAGCTCGAATTCTTATCGGGCTGGTTAAGTTAGACCTGAAGTTTTGGGGTTTAGTCATGACCAGGGCAAGAAGAAAATGATTTTAAGATTGTACTATAAAGAAAACAATGTTTATGATTTCCTGCAGCTGCATTCGTTTCTGGCATTGATTTGGCCAACTGTGTGGAGAAGAGTAATGATTTCCTTACAAATTCAAAATTTGGAATGGAAAAAATAAGAAGATAAAAAAAGAAAACTGGAAAAGGATTAGCTCCTTGTTGCAATTTCAACTTCAACTTCTCCAAATGACTGAAGCCTTGAAAGTTGCTTTTGCTTGCCTCCTAGATGGAAAGCTACCCCTATCCATACCAAGCACACCTCACAAAACGACACAGAAAACCAAAATAGTCAGTTAAAAAGAAACGGAAGGATTTTTTTTGCAGCACCCCGTAATCCTCCAAGGTAAGATACTGTTAGAATATAAATAACTGTTCCTGGGCCACAACCACAAACTTGAGCTTCTGGTTGAGTTGGTTCTATGACATGGTATCAGAGCAGGTTTTGGCCCACCTCGTTTGTCAAGGTGTCCGTCTAGACGTTCATTCCTAGCGGCCCATTAGTCTTTACCCCAGTTATCCGTATGGAGTATGTACCCAACGGCCTGTGGCCCGTTTAACACGATTGCTCGTCTGGAAGTCTATACCCAGCGGCTGGTGGTCCTTTAGGTGTTGGCGCTCAAAAAAAATCAAGGGAATGGGACTTTATTTGCAAGTGGTCAACCGGTTAGATTCAAAATGGCCCGGTTGTCCACTTGAGGGGGAGTGTTAGAGTACCCCACATCGGAAGTTGAATAGAAAAAGAACCGGTATATAAGCTCTTGAGTTGAACTAACTAATCGATTGGATTCAATCTTTTAATGTGGTTCAACTCAAGTGTCTTATTACCCAATCCAGTTGTCTCTATCCCATCCTAAATTCTATCATGGTATCATTCTATCCAAACCCGGGCTATAACACGGATCTTGGTTTTCCTATAATCTAACTACACCATACCATAACTGTACCAAAATCACGCGTTTAATATGGTTAACTAGTATTTCTAAAATGTAACTTTTTCCTTGTTCTTACGTATTTATCATATCTTTGTTCACCACATGTGTTTGCTTCTTTTTTTGTCTTTTAATGAAACATTTGCACATTAAATGTTTTCTCCATATTTTACTATTTACTCATACTAGGCATATCAGATGGATAGTAGGTAATTACTTGGTAGTAAGTAATCACTCCATATTGAATATTTGAATAGAACTAAAGAAAACTCTGTTGAAGTCTAGGGTTCAAGGTTTACACAAACTTACCCTAGAGATGTTGTTTACGTAGAAACTCGATGCATTATTGCATTTTACTGTCCAACCCTTCATACAGAGTAAGAAGAAAAAGAAGTCTAATGTACTCCATATCATTTAAATTTAGTTCATTGTTTACCTGAAGCTAAAACATTGTAAAAAATGACTCCTTAAATTGAATCTACTTTTTATAGGCATTTATAAAGCTCTCCAACTAAGTAGTACAACAACAACAACAACTAAGAGATGTTCTTTACATACCGGCAGTGCATATAGAGAGACTTTTGATGCCTTGTCGCTGGTTGTGCTGAAAAATAGCTTATACATGCCAGCTGCGGTGGCATCCCCTAGCCTTTGAACAATTACATCAATGCATACCTGTGGCACACCATATGTTTGTTTGAAGAAAATGTTAAAATGAAAGATGACAGAAGGTTTATACAGCCGGACTATTCAACAGCCAACAAACTCAGTAAAATCACACAGAAAGTAGGGTCTAGAGATGGTGTGTGTATGCAGACCTAATCCCTAAAGTGTGACTAGTCAGAAGTACAATAAATGGTGCAGGAAAAACAAATGAAGTAACTTATTGAACCATTCCATACCTTTGCTTTGTACTTCTCTTCTTGTGAGACAACAGTGAAAAGGAGCTCCCGTCCTGGCCTAGTTACTACATAATTCACCACCTACTATAAAAAAATTGTGAGGTTCATCCAGCTGTAGAAACGATCATCAATAAATAAGAAATTCCCATGTCTGGACAACATTTTTGGAAACAAAATCACTGTTTTACCCTAACTATGTGAAATGCATTACTTTAATGTAAGGGTAAAACAGTACTTTTAGTCCCTTAATATCATTGATGTGGTGAGTCTGAATCATCTCCCCCACCCCCACCCCTCTCTCTCTCTTCCCTCTAAGAGATGTGCGTTGGAAAAAAGAATGGCAGAAGTGCAGAATAAAACTAAAAGAAGTGCCAATTTAGAAGAACAAACCTTTCTTAAAGTTTCTGATATGGCAACTTGAATCCATGAAGGCCATATAGCTAATGTAATTAAATTTATGCAAGCAACAAAGGGAGACGCACAAATAGCTGAAGTAATCCCAGCAATAGTAAGGATGCGCCCCTGTGATGATGATGATGAATGTAGCAAAAATCACTCATGGTAGGGAATTTGGCTAATTGCTTTGAATTTACTTTAACTCTTTAAGAGAACAGAAAAAATATTTATTGTAACGAAATCCCACAAATTAAAAATGCATTACCGTTAAAGTAAGCTGACCTACGAGGATAAAAACAGCAATCAAGGAATTGATCTCAGCAAATACTTTCCTTCTGCCAACAGGATTAGTAACTGTTTTGGCAATAACAGTCACTTTCTGCAAATAGGAAAGAGTGTGAAGAGGCAGAAACTAGTAAATTATTATCTTTATAAATGAAATTACAATGAAGAAGCCCTTCATTTACCTGAAAGTAAAAGAAAGATGAGATAATTGCACTCAGCCACAAAAACAAGGCTACGCATTGTAAGTATGTTGATGACAGAATAAGCAGTATTCCATCTAATAAGGCCCACATCTGATGCTTTTGTGTTGAGGAAGACAATGTAGGAGAGCAATTTTTCGGTTCCGCCTCAGTTTGAATAGCATGATGAGCATCTACTAATCTGGATACTCAGAAATAAATATAAATAAAAAAACAATGGGACATACATATGTGGCTTTCTATATAAGGCTCCCGCCCATTGACTCTCTAAATCTAACCACATGTTATGAAGATGGGCAAGGATCTGTTGACACCCACATTGGGTGTCATACGACACTGGGCTATCTGAGGGCCCTACGGTATTTCGTTGGGGCCCAAAGTGGGTCCTAGCCCCTATAATACCCCCCCCCCTCACAAACCCCTCTGCACCCAACCCTTGATTGCTGAACTCCCGGAGTACCGGATCATTGAATTCCGGGGTAGGGGGGTTGTGTGAGATTAGGGGG